CTTTTTTAAAAAATAAAACTTTAATAAAGATTTTTTTATGTGAGAAGGTTCACAAAAATAATACGGAGTATGCACCAAAGGTGCATCATAGAAGCACTCTATGGAGTAACTAATACTCCGAAAATAAATTTAACCTACCCATGCTAATTTGAATACTCCAAATATAAGTTTGTCCTTACATATTGATCGTCTCGGGTTCAAATAATAAACCTCAATTTGATTTTTAATTAAGCGTAATGTTCCTTTCTAATAAGATATTTTTCCAAATTAATTATAAACAAACAATAATTACCAATATGATCCTTTAATTTGTAATTGAGATGTAATTTTTAAATAGTTCTCTATAAAAATGTACTCCCTCCGTCCCAAATTATAATGCATGTTTACTATTCACAGGGTCAAACTTCATTCACTTTCTTTCTCTATTTTCGTTAGCAATTTGATAAAATAAAATATTCTTGTCACTACTAGTTTTGTAGATCTTTTGATATAGTTTTTTAATATGTAATTTTTATTTTTTAATTCTATGCCATTTGTCATATAAAATGGTTTGAAAATAATTTCAGTCAAACATCGTAAACCGAAACAGGCGTTATAAAATGGGACGGAGGTAGTATATTAAATGAAAATTAGATAGATAGTATTTTTGTAATTTCTATCATATAAACTATGAATAAGTCATCGAAATGGTCATTCCAAATTTAGTGAGCGGCTCTTAGAGGAATGAATCAACCCCAAGTAGGCTCATGAACTCCATAAAGAAGCATTTACTTACTCCCTCCGTCCTAAAACTTTCTTCCCACTTCCCTTTTTTCTCCGTCCTAAAACTACCTTTCCATTAGAAAAAAAGATGACAAATGACATTAATACCCTCATGTATTTACACCAATTATCTTCTAACTCTATATTTTAAATGATTGCAAAAAAAATTTCAAAAAATCTTTTTTAAGGAGGATAAAATTTGAAGTCAAAGCCAAAAATTAAAAATGGAGAAAAGTCAAACTGAGAAAAAAGTTTTAGGACGGAGGGAGTATAAATTATCAATTTGAAAAATACTTAATCATAAAGAGGCATTTCAATAACATAATTTTAGTCTAGATAATAGACTTAATACGCTGGTAGATGTGAGAAGCTTCACAAAAATAGTATGCACCCAAGCTGCACCATAGAAGCACTCTACGGAGTAACTAATACTCTGGTAATAAATTAAACCTACCCATGCTAATTTGAATACTCCAAATATAAGTTTGTCCTTACATATTGATCGTCTCCGGTTCAAATAATAAACCTCAATTTCATTTTAAGTGTAATGTTCCTTTCTGATAAGATATTTTTTCAAATTAATTCTAAACAAGCAATAATTACCAATATGATCCTTTGTAATTGAGATGTATTTTTTAAATAGTCCTCAATCGAAAATGTCTATTAAATGAAAGTTAAATAGATGGTCTTTTTGTAATTTCTATCATATAAACTATGAATAATTTATCAAAATTATCCTTCCAAATTTAGTGAGCGGCTCTTAGAGGAATGAATCAACCCCGAGTAGGCTCATGAGCTCCATTTCAAGAAAAAATTTACTTAGAAAATATCGGTTTGAAAAATAGTTAATCATAAAGGAGCATTTTGATAACGTACTTTAAGTCTAGATGATAGAAACTACCAATATACTTTCTATTTGATTGACATTTAATAGATATTTTTTGCAGATAAATATTTAGGGAATATATCTCAATCACAAAGGAAAACTTTGGCCGGGTCTAGGGTGGTTTTCTAAGTTTAGATACTAAAAGGACTCAAGAAACGAAGATTGACTGTGAGGAGTGTAGGTGCAAATACATGTAGTCCAATTGTTATTATAAGTATGAGAGGAGTACAAGGAGGTATTACACAAAATGCTTTTAAGGGGATACAATTTGGATCCCTTCTATTAAGGATTACAAGTGTATTTATAGTGAATCTAGGTGACCGGGTGTAAGGTACCCATGCCCGACCACGTGCCAACCATATGACTGGATGCTTGATTGATTGTGTTTTGTCTTGTAGCGCTCGTCTCTGTACCCTAGTAGTTATGCTCTGTAACTGTCCTCTTGGCGTGTAGTGCTTGGCTTAGATGCCTGGATGTATCCATTGGTGTAGGGGATCTGGTCTGGCCAGATTGCTTCCAAATGCTATCTCTCAAGTATGCCAGACCATGGGACTATACCTGTCCCAATGATGCACCGGGTGGTTCATTCGGAGGGATGCCTTGGTGTTGTGAAGACTTTTCCATAAAGACTGGCTGCGTGACCAGTGATGTCATGAGTGCCAATCCACCCGAGTGGTTTGGGCCCACCCGGTCAGGATCACCCTCACTTCCTTTTAACGAGCTACCCACAAACCACCCGGTTGGTTCCTGTAGTGCCCGACTCGGGCTGTGTCTTGGGTGGGAATACACCTATCAATCTCAATTACAAAAGATCACTTTGGTAAATAATATTTATTAGGAACTAATTTGAGAAAAACATTTTATCGATTGTTTTGGCAATTCACTCTATAATTAACGTGAAGGAGTTTTTAAAATATTTAATTAAGATGGGAAGTGCTAAAAAAGGTTTGGAAATTGGAAGTATATCATTCCCTCATTAAAAAAAACAAATGTACGATGGAGCATATGTATGATTTGGATACGAGAGAGAGAAGGTTCGTGGAACCTAACTCCCGACATTAAAATTTTCCAACCAAAGCCACCGACGAAGGTGACATTGTCTTTGGTCACGCAATTCGGTTAGTCCCACCTTAAACATGGCCTCATGTGGACTTATTGACTCGTCCTATGCGTCAAAAGCTACTTTCTCGTCCCTTGTGGCCAACTCGTGCAATGCACGAGGTCGAACGCATGTTGTTTTTAACTCTGTTAAATTTTTTATTTTAGTAAATCATTAAAAAATATAGCTAAAAATAATATATAATGTTAGAAGTTTAATGAATGATATGACATAAACAGAGTATTCCCTCCGTTCCATAAAACCCTTCGGTTTTGACTTTGGAGAAAAATAAAGAAAGTGTAATTTTGGTTGACTTTCCAATTTTGCCCCTGATGTGATGGGAAAAAGTAAGATGTGATAGTTTGGTTATTAGTGATAAAGTATGATGTGATAGGTAGGGTATTAAAAAGTAGGGGTAAAAGTGGATTTTTAATAGAAAGTAGAAGTGTTTTGTGGAAAACAAAAAAAACGAAAGAGGAAGTGTTTTGTGGAATGGATGGAGTATTAATTACATCCAAATTTTTTGAAAAACATCAGGATAAACCACATTTTTGGTGCAATTGCAAGAGTTACTGTTTTTATCTAAAACTAACACTTTTAATCCCTTTTTAGATTCCACTCATGGAACTCCAACATAAAGTTGACTGAGTATTTGTCCAGTTTTGATGTTTTCAGTCAATCATTTTCAACCTTTGACCTATAATTAAATGAAATATATATTGTATATTAATTAAATAAAATAATATTTTGAAAATATTTTATATAATAAATCTAATAAAAAAAATTTGTATCAATATTTAATATCATTTTTATTTAATTTGAGAACATACACCAGTATTTAACGGTAGTCTCAATCCAAAGTGCTCAAATAAATGTTAACTATATTCTGAATCCAAAGTGCTGAAATAAATTTTAAGGACAAACAAAGTATAGAATACAATAAGATAGATGAAATCCTTCCGTCAAAACTTTATATATTGATTGATGACAGTTACATCAGCCAGGGTAGGTTTGTTCAAGCCTCCATTTCCCTTGGCCTTTAAAATAAAATTACATAGAAATTTAATAACCCACCTAAAAAACAAAGGGGAAGGTCAAAATTTTGTAGGGCAAACGAATAGATATTTTCTGTGCGGGACCCAATAATTTGACGAAATGCCAATAATAACATAGCTTGGAGTAGATACTTGGTTCATTGATACACATTAACAAATTATCATTTTCACACACATAGGGGATGGTAAACACTATAAGAAATGATATTGAACCCCCCAAGAAATCTACTATATATATAAAAGCTGATGGAGAAATCCCTTTCAATTTCAGTCCTGAATTTTCCCGCCATTTTTGTTCATCCAATGGCTGAAAATAGTTTGTTACACATGTAGATTTATACCATGTATAGTCTTCTGGGTTAGCAGCTCATGAAATCTCTATTTATAACATATAAAATCAGTTATGGACAAAAGAAAATTATTACCACATCAAGAATTTCAGTACATGGTATCTCCAAAGAGTCAGTCCAAGCCAATTAGTTCACTGATGTAATGACAAATGAACAGACAGTGCAATGGACGTTCGGCCAGATTGAACTGGGAGATAATTCCCTCTTCCACACAAAGCCTCCTCCACAGAATAACATTTCAGTATTATTTTTTAAATCATTTTCCTTGAATCTTCCACGCCATCCCCATAAAATGGCCCAGGCTTACCGTGTTCTTGAGGCTCAGATTTGGACACAAAAAAACCACATTGTAATACAATTTATACAAAAACTATAAATTGTAAAATTGTTTATTTTGAAGCTCGGAATAGTTTCCCCTTGCTATAGAAAACACGATAAGATCGCCATGGCTGCAACCGCGGTGACAAATTTACGGCTTGCCCCGCCAAGATACGAATCATTTAATCAAATAAAGTTAGCCATAACTTTATAATATAAAGTTAGCTTGGTTGCAGCCATAACTTTATAATATAAAGTTAGCATCTCAATATAATAAATCCTAGCCAAGTACTTCACATATGTATTCAAATGAACTGCCACTGCCCATTATCAGAACATCACACCATAAAGAAATTGGCACAGATTGGTCTCCTAAAAATGTTTAGGGTAATGTTTGAAAAATGTTTAAAGTAAACCCCCTAAAAATGTTTATATTAATGTTTAGAAATAGCTGGAAAAAATGTTTAAACCCCCTGCCATTTCAGTGTATACAAACACCATAACTTATAAATAAGTTTATAATATGTTTCCAAAAAGTGGAAATTTTCTTTAGGCTCAGAAATTGTTTTCCATTGCTACACAAAGAGATGTGATTGCCATGGCTGCAACCACGGAGTCAAATCTCCGGGTTGCCTCGCCAAGATACGAATCATTTCATCAAATCTTTGGGATCAACATTGAAAAAATACACAGCAATTTTGTCACAACATCTTTAATCTCACTGAATCAGCTAATTAGAGCTATTTGTATTTTCCAGAAATCTGCCCATCTGTACATGGGCTATAAAGAGGCTCAGAATTTAAAATATTTATATACTATCACAACAAAAAGGATATTAAAACGCCATGGCTGCTTCTCGATGCCTACGAAGCCTCGCCAAGATACGTCTTATTCCCTTAATTTTAGTATGCAAAATTTGACAAAACATATACAAAAGATCATCACAGCCTCTTATTTATTAAAACCATTCCAGCCTCAGAGAGAGAAATATACCGTGACTGCAAAGATTGAATGAAATCACTTAATTACATAACCTACCAGTAACATGGTCCCTCTAATACATTACACATATTCATTACAAGTGATACATTCCAAAACAGTCAGATCCTACCTGACCACCAGACATATATTATAGCATTCAGCTCACAGTACTTAAAAAACATCTCTTCATTGAAATTGGTGACTTTCAATTGTAACCCAATATATTCCTATGGTGTATAAATACCCTTCCCCACTTACACACTACACACCCTTCCACCTTTACTTTATTACCCTAAATTCCTTTGCACCACTGTTTTTTTACAATTAGCCTTATAATTTCCAAAAAATGCCTGCCCTTTGGACAAGGTTGATGGAACTAAAACCATCTACCTTTCGTGTCAATCTAAAATCAAGATTAATTCGTTCCTACGATCTCATATCCTACAGGAAGGAGAAATTTATGCTCGGGAGTGTATTTTTTCAAGACAATGAGGTATTTTTCATTAGACTTTTGTTTATTAGCCGCTTTTCCAAAAAATTTTAATTTTATGGAAAAAATTTCAGGGGAACCACATCCTTGCAATCTATCAAAACGAGGAAATACCAGTGTTTGGAGCAACACTAAAAGAAGGGAAGTTATATCGAATAAGTAATCCTGCAGTTCTATCAAATAACAAGCCTAACATTGTTTCAAATAAATTTAAGCTTTCACAAATAAGTGGTTTAATATATCAATCGAGAGATCTAAGGCATGGAATAAGAAGGGAATTTTTTTAAAAAATCTGCTACTCAGTGGGTTTAAAAATAGAACAATTAAATGGAAAAATGAAATAGTAGATCAAAAAAGTGAAAATTAATATGCTAATACTGAAGATAAAAATAGGGCCTTGAATTGGAAACAAATCCTTTGATCTACCATCACATATAGGTATACAATGAGTTATCAAGAATATCGAATTGAAGGATCTAATAAGCGTCATATTTTAAAACCAAAGCAAGAACACAATGAGAAAGTAAAGAAGATGCACCATAAAACATGCATCTGGATGTTCAACGGTGCGTGGAGTTAAGGTCCAGGAAAACGAAGACGACGGCGGCGGCAAGGACTGGAGAGTGGAGAAGTGATTGGATTTATTGAAATGGAAGAGTAACGGATGGGAGATGTAGGCCCACTTTGGCATAGCAGTTAGCATTTTGAAAAAGCTATTCGATGGTAGCCTTTAGTGTTAGCGTTTTCAGAATTAACACCATCAAAATTTTATCCAAAACGCTAACGCTAATAAAAAACGTTGTTACCAAACAAAGCCGTAATTGAGATGAGAGAGGAGCGGAAGGCAATCGGTAAATGAGACAGACCCAAAGGTAGGTGGGTGGGTGGATGTTTTGGAATTGGATCTACAGAATTAGAGTATTAGCAATGGAAAGACAAAAATGAAATGTCACACGGTTGACATGAACTATTTCAAACAATAAAAAATAATCTAGTCACCGTGAGGCAAATGAGTAGAGTGTCATAACATACAGTGGCAAGTCATTGTTTTTGTCTATTTTTATATTTTTTAATGATTTTTAATTATCAAAAATTATTTTACACATTTATTTTATTATTAAAATTTGTCTACTTCTTTTAAAAAATATTTTTTTCAAAAATTAAAAATATTAAAAATATTAAAAAAAAAATAAAAAATGGAGTCGTGCTTTGCACATGGAATGAAAAGTCAGACAGAATGGTCATTGAATGCTATGATTTGAGTGACATTTACTAACATGGCTAGGCAAGACATTGCTTTGCGATTGTGAATGTTCTTAATGCTAGGGATTGCCCTGTACTCATACTCCTTATTTTATACGGAGTACTACGTATTCTGTTTAATGCTACACTTTGTATATTTTTTCAGTTTTTGCTTTTTGTTCAATTTTTTGCTTTTTGATTTTGCTTTGATAAAAAAATTTCACCGTAAGTTTTGTGCTCCATAGTTATTTTGATCAATTTTTTCTTTGTGTTCACTTTTTGGTTTTTATCTTTCTTTTTGCTAAAATTTTTTCAAGTTAAAATTTTTTTGTTTAACGTTATTATTATTTGAATTTTGAGCAATCTAAACACAATCCTTTAATATCCTACCAATAAAATATAATAAAATCTATCCAAATCAACATAGAATTAAAATAATTTGTGAATTTTACATAATCTATAAATGATAAATAATGTAATATGATCTTTTAGAATTTAGATAGAATATACCCCATAATGAATAATTGAAATGCACTTATTAAATTTAAAAATTTTTACTCATGCAATTGTCTTCCTTAATGTTGATATCAGTTTTTAAGGCAAGTCTTTCTCTTTTTTTTCCAATCTCAACCACTACGGTTTGGCTCTTATCATCAACTATATGATTTGACTGTTCTCATCGATGACAATTTATATTTTCCATATTCATCCCGAATTATGTACTTACTATATTCCTGTGCATCGCACGGGTGATACACTAGTGAAAGAAAAAGGTAGAAAGAGCCTATTAACAGCACTCCATATCATTGTTAGGGCTTTAAATAGTTTTTTATTGGCCAATTCATATTTTTATATTATTTTAATTATTAAAAATCAATAATTTTATCTCTCTATTAATAGTAGGGGTAAAGTCTACATACGCATACTCTCCCTCCCCAAGCCATATAACTATTTCTTCCTGAAATCAACATTAAAATATTTGGACTCTTGACCCTCCAACTTGTTTACACTTATCTTAGTTTTGAATATAGTGAATGCACCAGTGCACGGAAAAAGAGTAAAGAATTGTCCTTATTTGATCTAAGCACACTCTTTAGAACATGATTTTCAATGTGCGAGGCTAACATTAAAAAAGGGAATAACCAACTTTTAAGCAAGACATTATACTCTATAATTGAGAATCTTAGATTTCCATAGATTGAACGACTTTCTAGAGAAGAGGTAGTTACCTTATGTGATATTTGATCAGGAATCCTGAGGCTTCAAGAATTATGTTCCATCAACCTAATTTTAAGGTTCCCATGATCTTTCAAAGTGGACAAACCAAAATTAATAGATAGAACAAAGTGGTAGAAGGTCATAACATTTTAGAGGGATTTTGAGCATTTCAGGTTATAGAACAAAGTGGTGGGAAAGTTTATCCTTTACTTACAAAAAGTGATAAATTTTGATGTGTGTGGTGATATTCTTGCTCTTAATTTTAATATTAACGTCAGTGCTAAACAAATATCCTTTCTTTGTACCCAATTACTTTGACTGGTGAAAATGACAATAAAACAGATAACGTGTGAGCATGCAAGTACATACACATGAAATCAAAAGTAAATTTTGAACACAACTGCTAAAAGATTAACTAAAGCAGTAAACCTTTATTACAGCCTATGTTATAAAATAGTGTCATTATTTATACTGTGTGCTCTAGCAAACATTAATTCACAATTAAATGTTTTTTAAAATTTTTCTTAAAAGTCCTTTTTTATGCTTCATGCTTTTTGAATTTGTGTCTTCAGTATTACCTGGGTAGTTGCACAACCCATCTCTTCGGCACTGGTAACTTCTAAGAATGCATCTTACAACAATGATAATTGATAGATCTTAGTAACAACGAAGTAGGGTTTATTCTTGAAATTGATAGATTCATAGTAAAAAATCTAGCCCTTCAAATAGGCAGACCTAAACTTAAGCTAATTTCGTGAAACAAATGTGAATTTTTAAGTCTAAAATAGTAAATATACAATACTAAATGAGCCAAGTACACATACTGGTTACAACTAAAGAGCAATAAAAACACTACCTGCATAGGCACCCTCCTTGTTTGAGTGCAGACAATCAGGCGAACTATGTGAAAAACAAAATGCTATGTATTACCTTCGTCTTCTTGAATACTTCCTAACATCTCTAGAGTGTAAAACTTTTTTGTTACTCCACACCCTCTATCATCGTCAGCTCACCAATATCTCTGAGCTCCGTCCACAACCGTTTTCATTGCTCATTTATAACATAGCAATTTGTTAGGCTTTAAAGAGTGGGCCAGCGACTCTACTACAAAATAGAGCAGATGTTGTAGATTAGTAGATTGTTGCAAAGGCAGAGATTGTGATATGTCTTCTCGTCGCCGAGGGATAGCAACGAAAATCATAATAAAAAATTACACAAAATTTAATCAAGAAAAGTAATACTAACCTGCGACATTTCCACGTTCTAATGTTACGTTGAGGATGATAGCCGACCCTTGAGCATCCTACTTTCAGTAAGGCCCTCTATATTTCCCAAGAATCATGACTATGTTTCTATTGGGAAAAAAATTCACAAACAATTTAAATAGATCAACATTCATTCTTAGATAAAATAAATATTGGAATTAAATGGCTTGCTTGGACAAATGAGAAACCTAATCTAAAAAACTCAGTCAATCGCATAGACGAAAAATCATGTTGAAAATTCAGTCAATAACATAGACGAAAAATCATGGTTCTCTTCAACATGTTATCATATTGAAAATGCTATAATAAGTCAAAAAATCAAAATTTTATAATCACTCAAAAAAGAAATAATATCCACTTTTTTTAAATACAGTTTCTATTAAAGTTTGAAATTATCTTAAATCAATCAACGAACAAAAATTTACGAAATGCATGATTTCTTAAAAAATCTTAATAACATATTGAACAATAATTTCTTGAAATTGAAAGAGAGGCTAGAAATAAAAAAAAGAAATTAGAAGGGTTTATACCCTTTGCACAATTTTGCTTCAGATTCTTCAAATCTGAAATCGATTTTTTTTATAAAAATGAAACAAAGTTCATGTAGAGTATAAGAAAAATTTATACCTGAGTTCTCTTATCCCCAAGTCTTGCAAGCAAGTATTCAAATCGTTGCCTCCAATTCCATGGGAAAATTCTGGTGTCGTTCAAAAGAAGCCTATGATGGGAATCACATGCTCCCTCAGTCCCTAAATAAACTTATTTTTTCGTTTTTTCTTTGTCCCCAAATAAATTTCTCTTTTCCCTTAAAAACCCCCTTTTACCCCCTACTTTTTCATACCCTACCTATCACATCATACATTTTTACTAATAATCTACATAACACATCTTACTTTTACACATCACATCAAGGGTATTTTTGAAGTCAACACAAAAATATCCCTTCCTTAAATCCTCAAAAAGTCAAAAACAGAAGTTTATTTAAGGACGAGGGAGTAAAATAAAGAAGGATCGCCAAACAATCCGAAGGTATTCCGTAGCCGACTGCTTTCTTCCGTAGCTAATTTTTTCTTGGTAAGAGATTTTGGAGAATTTCTTTCTAGGAATAAGATGCTCAATTAATGAGATCTTAATTTTTTTGGTTGAAGAGTTTCGTTCCGTGAAAAGTTTCCTTGTGAAGATTTGACTTTTTTTTTAATTTTCATTCTATGAAGAAAAGACATGTGGCGAGCCCTAAGCAATGCCAAATGGCAACTTCTTAGAATTCACTCTCAAATATTATATTAAATGATTATGTTTTGGCCTTTGGGGCTTCTTTCCTACACACTCCCTTCCAAAATTATAATTTTTACAATTGATATATTACTTTTTTTTGATAATTTTTGTCTATATATTTTCATTATTAATTATTTAAAAAGATAAAATTTCTTTATCGCATGTTAATTTACTAATAAGTAGGGATGACAATTTTATCTGAATCCGACTTTTTCCGACCCGACCGAAGTATATAATATCCGAATCCGACCGAAAAAATAAATATCCGAAACCGACCTGAAGATTTTAAAACCGAACCCGACTTTTGTCAGGTCGGTTTTCGGTAATTAAATTTGACCGACCCGACCCGTACCCGACCGACCCGATAATTAACCCGAAATAAAAGGCCTTTTTAAAATATAAAAAAAAACTTTTTCAATTAAAAGTCTTTGACTTACGGGAGTTGCCAGTTACGAACTTGAAAATGTGAAAACTTGTTATATTTATGTGTGTTGTTTCTCTTGTGAAATATTTGTGAAAACTTGTTATACTTCCATGTTTTGGTTGTTATTTGGGACACATCTTTTTTAATATCTTAATTTTACGATGTCTTTGAACGTTCAAATGTTTTTATGTATTGGAATTCTATTTATATCATTACTTGCATTTATTATTTTAATAAAAATCATTACAAAAAACTGATTTATTAGGATATTGGTATGGTCAGTCGGTCGGGTCGGTCGGTCGGTCGGGTCGGTCGGTTTTCAGGTCGGGTTAGGCTTAAGTTTTTGTCAAATTCTCGGGTTCGGTTGCGGTTTCGGGTTTCGGTTTAGGCAGTCGGATTCGGGTTCGGGTAGAAATTTATACCCGACGGTTCGGGTTCAGGCAAAAAAAAATATCCGATCAAAATTTCGGGTCGGTTTCGGGTAAGGGTATATCCAAACCGAACCCGACCCGTTGCCATCCCTACTAATAAGTTATATGGTATATTCTTAAATGTATTTTTTGGTAGCTTTTTAAATACAATACAACTAGTTTCTATGGATTTACTCACTTTTACCCTCATTAATTATTACTCCTTCCGTCCGAAAATGTTTTTCACATTTGACTTTTCTTGGTCAAAGTTTATAAACTTTGACTATGATTTGTGGAAAAAACACATTGTATTATGATGTAAATTTAATATCAATATGTTCATAATAAAACGTAGTTTTCAAAAATCAATTTTTTATAAAAAATATCTATGTATAAATATAGATATTAATGGTCAAAGTGCAATATTGGAGATCGTGAAAAGTGCAAGAACATTTCCGGACGGAGGAAGTATTTCTAAAAGTACAATTATTTTCGTATTCCATCATGCTATATGATATCAAGAATGTTAACCGTACTCTTGTATTAAGTATGGTAGCATTAGTCATAATAGTATTTTCTTATTAGTAATTAAGCTTCTATTTGAAGAAAATATTTTTAGAATTGAAATTAATGAATTCATTGATTACAAATGTTTTATTTATACAAATATAGCTCTGACCTAATTACGAGTCCACTAGTAGAAATGCTAACTACATCAGGTAACACTTTCCCACAAGTTGAGCATGAGGTTAACGAATGCACAATTTGGACAATTACGACTATAAGAAACAACTCGATAAACAACTTCGGACAAAATTTTAAATTTGATTTGGTGTGATAGCAACGGATGAAGGCGACCAACCCTACAAACAAACAACATAAAACTGATGATGGTTGACTCCCAAGTGGTGACGCGGGGACGGCTCACAAGCATCCCTATAACACCCTGGCCCCCACCCTAACTAGAAGTATTTGCTTATAGGATTGTAAATTGCCTCACAAACTAATACAAGTCCTTCCTGTGCACTTTGTTCTCACTTGGGCACGCTCAGGAAACTTCTCAAGGAGTCACCCATTTTAAAATTATTCCAAGTCCAAGATGCTTAGCTTTGGAGTTTCTACATGATGAGCTCTCAAAAAGAAGATACATCTTGTTGGTATGAGTAGTGCTATCAATCAATTTGAATTCTTTCTATTTCATGCTAACTCGGGGTATTACATTGACCCCCATTTAGAAATACAACGCCCTCATTGTACCCTTTTTAAGCCCCTAAATATATTCACCACTAGGTAAACTAAGCTCGTTGGCCCCTCACGGTCGCATGACTACTCTGGTACCATTTATAACACCTCGGCCCCACCCTACCCGGAAGTATCTGCTCATAGGATTGTAGCTAGACTTGTCTCACAAGCCAATACAAGTCTTTCCCGCACACTTGTTCTCACTTAGCTTGTGCGTGCCCATGAAATTGCTCAAGGGGTCACCGATCCTAAAACTACTCTAAGTCTAGCACGCTTGATTTTGGAGTTTCTAATCAATGATCTCTTGAAAAAAACATGCATCTTGTTGGGGTAAATAATACAATCAATTCTTTTAAATTCTTCTCGTTTCGTGTTAACCCGGGGTATTACGTAGTATCATTGTTTCACAAAAATGAAGTCACGACAGGAAGTTTTTTCGAGACGATGATTTATTATTGTATCATATGTGTAATGAAAAAAATTAAAGAAAAAAAGACCGTACAAAAGAATAGTTCTCTTGTGTCGGTGACAGCGGAAAAGAGGTGGCACCCATTGGGATTCATCGAGGTCGGTATTGAAAGCAAAAGATATCATGAAATTTGCATGTGAAGTTATTGTTATATGTACCATGCTACACTTACACCAAAACATATACCTCATTTGTACACCACAGGTTTGCACAAACATTTCGATGGTTTACACCGACACAAGTGTTTGTGCATTAATAAAAATTCACACAAACACGAATGTTGGTGCGTTTAACAAAAATTAGTTTTACACCGACACAAAGTGTTGGTGCAAAACTGCGGGGTACAAATTGAAGTATAAACCTTGGGGTACACATAGCATAATCCTTGTTATATTCTCATCCAAGAGAGAGTGGTTGTGGGACAATTGGGATGGGTACTTGTGCTCATCCATGTAAGTGCACATCTTTACATCTTTTCAAATTTCAATGTCTAACTGTCACAAAAGTTAATGTTGCAGGGGAGCAAATAGGTGGTTGCTCCGATATTCATGAGGTATTGACGTATTGTCCATTAAAAAATGGGATGTTCAGAATCCTCCGGATTCCTGATAACTGTCCAAGAATGCAACTATGTAAAACATAATCTTTTTACAAATACAAGGTGGAGGCAGTGGCGGATCCAGGAAAAGCCGTGACTGGGGGCACCTTCAGGTAAAAACACGATGAGATTTGGGGGTAACACTTCTGGATTTTTTTTAAAAGTCATTTTGAAATAATAAAAAAATATAAGTTCTATATTAAATACTCTACAATTCTAATGTGTTTGTTCCATTGATTGTTTGGAAGTTCAAGAGTGAAATAACCGGTATATAAGCTCTTGAGTTGGACTAACTAATCGATTGGATTCAATCTTTTAATGTGGTTCAACCCAAGTGTCTTATTGCCCAATCCAATTGTCCATACCCATCCTAAATTCTATCACAAACAAGATAAATTTTTATTAATAAACATTTTAATTTTAATTTTAATGATTATAAAATTTGTTCGGTTTGACTCTAAAATGTCAAACTAAACAAACTCATTGGAATGGAGGGAGTTAGTATAGAAAAAGTTAAATGTAATATTTTTAAAATAGAATAATATAATTTGTAATCGACATTATTACTTAATTCAATTATCATATTTTCAATATCTTACTTTCAATTTCCATTTTAAAGATTATTTTTCACTTGTGGACTATAATCTTTTTTAGACCGGAGGCATAAAATAAATTTCAAAGGGATCAAATATTTTTTTGTGGGGGCATTCTTCTAATTTGGACTTTAATCTTTTTTAGACCGGGGGCATAAAATAAATTTTAAAGGGATCAAATATTTTTTTGTGGGGGCATTCTTCTAATTTAGTAAAAAAGAGGAAAAATGTTAAGTACAATCGGGTCGGGAGATTTACCGGGGGGTTAGGAGTGTAGGAACTGTCAATATTACGAGCGGGGCACTGCAGCGACCCCGGAGCATCCAATGACATGACGTTCCAATGTCAACTCTTACTTACAGAAAATGGAACTCTTGTTCAATTTTGAAAAATCAATTTTTTAATATAAGTGCGTTGATTTAATCTATATCTATACTTATTAAAAAGCAGGAGATATGTTGACCAATTTTCATGTCCATGTAATTTTTATTATATATGGAAAACATTTTTAATCGTACATAAATAAATGGAAGAATAAATAAATAACATAATTAGGTTTAAAATCAACATAAATACAATAATAGGGACCTTATTGATGGAAATCATTTTATAACATAAATAATATTAATAATTTTTTAAATAAAACAAAATTTAATATATTAAAAAGACAAATTAAAATAAACTTAATTATATTATGGATTTTATATATATATATATATATATATATATATATATATATATATATATATATATATATATATATATATATATATCACAATCAATGAATGATAGTAATTGTATTGTTCTTTTCCCCACTCATGTAATTCTTACGGAGTATTATATATAAATAAATATGGATCAGACCTTATTGATCACGGTCAAGGAAGCATTTTTTAATTGTACATAAATAAATGGACTTTTTAGAACAAATATTTTAAATTTCCTTGTTTGTGAGAATTACCTCAAGTATTTTTTTATAATGAATTACATTCATTATTGAATTACCTTATTTGTGAGAATTTAATGGAATGATAAGGACCTTATTGATGGAAAGAAATTTTTAATTGTATATAAATAACATAATTAAGGTTTGAGCTAATATAAATGAAATAATAGGACATAAATAATATGTACATAAATAACATAACTAATTGTATAAATATATAATTTTTTAACATAATTTTTTTAAATATGTACATGAATAGATAAATAATATAAAAATTTAATATATATTAGAAAGACAAATTAAAGTAAACACAATTATAATAAGTATAGATTATAACTAAACAGATATTTTTTTATTAATCATAATCAATGAATGATATTAATTGTATTATTCTTTTTTCTGCCCATGTAATTTTCATTATATATAGAAAAATATGGAGCTGTGCGTTGCAGGGGAATTGTTGAACAGTGTTCCCGCCCATGGATTTTTGATTATATATGGAAAACTTTAATGCGTGTGAATTTAATGGTTGTGCTACTAATCGGGGGAAATTTAATATCTTCAACTTTTTGTGTTGTTTTCGGTTTCTAATTTCTATGACGGAAAATAATAAAATTATATATATGGAGATATATGGAGATTATGAAAGGAAATATGGAGATTATATAAAGACTTCTTATATAAGGCCGGGTTACCTGAATCCAACTTATATCAGGCCCCAACAACTTACGGATCAAGCCAGCCCAAAACACTACAAATGAAGTCCAAACTTTCATTTTTCGAGCGGGCCTTTACAAGCAGGACCCATGAACAGGTCACCTCACTAAAGTTCGAAAGTAGTTTTTTCATCGTTAAACTGGAAATAAAACTCTTGTTACTATATAAAGTAGAGAAACATCTGATGAAAATGGGGACATAGTGTTTAGATGCACTCTTTAAAAGAACTCGGTAAATAAAACACACAAAAAAACCAGAGTTACAAAAGCATTTGAGATGGCAATCACCCCAAAGCTTTGTATGTTTCAGACCACTTACAACTTCCAACGCAAATAAAAAGCTAATCTAAACACCAATTTGAGAGGGTACAAAGTATGATCATTATTCTTTTTCAGCATATGTTGAACTAAACTCACAAGGAAATGGAATTTGTTTAAAGAAATGAATAAGAAGGCGTTGTGAACGGAAAAAAAAGGGGAGGTGGGGTGATTTTGCTTAGTCCTTGTACTTCATTTCAGAAATTTTGAAGCCAGGCATGTCGAAGGAGGAGGAGAACTTCTCGACATCAGCCTTGAGCTCTTCGATTTCCTTGTTGTTGACAAGGCCCTTGTTGAAGTCCTTCAAGAGTTTGCCATGCTCCTTTTGGACACTCAGTGTGATGTTCACTGCCCTGTGGAGGAATTCACCGATCTGCTCAAAGTCCTTCTCGACCAAACCCCTCGATGTCATAGCAGGGGTACCTGCCCAAAACAAAAATCCCTCAATCACACATCAGCAACAACAATACCCCAGTGCTTCAAAGGCTCCTGCAGTCCTGCCCATTATGGGGTAGGGAGGGTCGGATGTACGCTGCCTGAACCCTATGTTTAAAACATGGAACGGATTTCTAGATGCCCCATGATGAGCATCGAAAGTTATATCGACTAACTGCTACCTCACTATTGAAAAAAGCACAGACAATTTAAGAGCCATAGAAATCGAAGGTGATCAAATTTTGTTATATGTTTGGTGTTGTTTTTATAAGATGGTGAGTTGTTCATATGTTAGTTGTGTAGTGATTCTATGAATGGACATTTGTTTGGGGATTTATGATATTAAGCGCGCTCCCAATGTAGATGTGTTTGGTACTGAGGTGCTATGACAAGATTCTTTACTAAATATTGTACTCCATAGAATAACTTTATCAAAGCTGTTTCATGTTTCAAGATGCAACACTTTTATTTTAGCAAAAATCAGTTTTAGATTTAACAAAAAACCAGGCCTTAATCGAGCATCAAATAAAAATTCCTGTGATTGACCTGAGTTCTCCCCCACCCACCCCCACTCAAAAGAGAAGGGAAAATTCTGGCTCCCCACCATAAAAATGTATTGAACCATATAGAAGGGAGAGAACCATTTTTATATCCCTCTAACCAAACACAATTGAAAATTTAGTCTTACCAATGCGAACTCCTCCCGGGGCAAGAGCACTACTATCACCAAACACGGCATTCTTGTTCACGGTAATGTTGCACAAGTCACAAAGCTTCTCATACTTGTTACCTACAAAGAGAAACCACAAGTCGTGTATTGAATGAAAGGTCATTCCAACAACACCCACAAATTCTAAAAAGGATTATTGGTCACATAATTGCTATTACCAGTCAAACCGAGAGGGCGAAGGTCCCATAGAACAAGGTGGTTCTCGGTTCCACCAGTGACAAGCTTGTACCCTTTGCTCATCAAGTAGTTGCCAATTGCGACTGCATTGGCCCTAACTTGCTTAGCATAGGCCTTGAAGCCAGGACACATGGCCTGTTTGAGGGCAACAGCCAATGCCCCAATTTGGTGGTTGTGGGGGCCACCCTGCAGTGATGGGAAAACAGCAAAGTTGATCTTGTCTTCAAACTCATACACTGCATCCTCTGGTTGTCCCTTCTTTGGAGGCTTTGGGCCCTTGCGGTAAAAGATCATCCCTGCCCTAGGGCCTCTCAAGCTCTTGTGGGTTGTGGTTGTGACCAGATCACAGTACTCAAAAGGATCAGCAGCTTCCTACACCCACAAATGATCACCACAAGATTCAATGAGATGTGTAAAGCTTATTACATACTCCCTCTCAAAAGCATAAGAGGTTTCCTTATTTACTTATTCTACTTTTCCCAAATTAAGGTTCCACTTTTACTTAAGCGTCAATCCCAAAATAAATCACTCTAAGGAAAAAAGAGAATGGCAATTCATATTATTTCTCTTTTCTGCAAACAATCAACTACACAATTTCATCTTTCTTAATAATCATGCCAGATCACACTTTTTGCGACACACTGGTATAAGGGGTGTTAATGGTGGTCAAATGGGACAGAATTGATCACAATGTAGCAATGCAACAAAGGAGATCAATAATTCATATGCTACACATCCAAAACAAACCAGTCCCACTAGATCAAATGCAGATCTACGACTCAAAAGGTTAAAAAACAAATTCAAAACAAACATTTAGATCAAATCAGCACCAAAATTATGCGTGCATGTGAATATGTGATCGAGATTTGGTACCTGAGCAGCAACAAGACCACTGATGTGAGCCATGTCGCAGAGCAAAAGCGCCCCGCATTTGTCTGCTACATCTCTGAATCTCTTGTAATCCCAATCTCTAGGGTAGGCGCTGCCACCACAGATGATCAGCTTGGGCCTGAAATCCAATGCTTTCTCTTCCAATTTGTCGTAATCGATGTAGCCGGTGCTGGCATCCACCTTGTACGGCAAGCTCTCGAAGTAAATCGAGGTGGCCGAGATCTTCTTCCCGCCTGAGGTATAGTAGCCGTGAGTCAGATGCCCACCGGACGGCAAATCCAACCCCATGATCCGATCATGGGGGTTGAGGACGGCCGTATAGGCGGCAAAGTTGGCCGGGCTGCCGGAGTAGGGCTGCACGTTGACGCCCCACTTGGCGGGATCGAGGCGGTAGGCCTGGAGGGCGCGACTGCGGGTGAGGTTCTCGATTTGGTCGATGTATTCGTTGCCGCCGTAGTAGCGGTTACCGGGCATTCCCTCGGAGTACTTGTTGGTGAGGGCGCTGCCGAGGGCCTCGATGACGGCGAAGGAGGTGAAATTCTCGGAGGCGATCAGCTCGATTCCCCGGCACTGGCGGCGCTTCTCCTTCTCAATGAGATCGTGGATCTCCGGGTCCATGACGGAGAGCGGCGTGTTGCCCCATTCTGAGACTGGATCCATAACCGCTTTCTCCGGTCAGTCGGTGGAAGATTGAGGTGGGTTGTTGAAATGGTGGGGGGGAGAGAAGAAAGGAGAGAGCGAAGCAGGGAAGGAAAGGGGGCTTGAGGTCAGAGTTTTAAAGCGTGAAATGAGGTAGGAGAAGTTGGTGAGAGGACGAATAATGCCCCTAATCTCTATCATTAGTTGGTGAGAGGACGAAATAATTTCAATTTTTGCTACATTGTTTTCAACTTATTATTATCTATTTCTAGACTCCAACCTGTGCGTTGCACGGCTAAAAATAAAAGTTAAAAAATAACTGAATGTATTGAGGTTAAAATTCAATATGACTGAATTAAAATACGAATATATAACGAAATATTTGAGAAGATGAAGTATACAATGATATATATTGGAAACGTTACATTATAAGTTTTGGAAGACTTCTTTATAAACTACGTTGGCAGTTTGGTTCATCTTAGCAGGGTCTTCATTGCATATCAATATCTTTAAACCTCTGCGATTTGTGACACGTGAAAGCGCTACGTAAAGCTGGCCATGGCTGAATACCGACTTCTTCAATAAAAGCCCAACATGCGACAATGACTGTCCTAATTGAAATGATCGTTTTCTTGTATTACAAACCTTTCTTTGTGTAATACAACTTTGAGGTGGAGTAAGGTTATCAAGTTGTTGCAATTCATTTGATGCATGAACAGAGCTTGATGTAGGATAAGAGAAGCGATCGAACGGTGTACAAACTGACATTATTAATCAAATAAATCAACGCTTATGTAAACACATAAAATCTTTTTTTAGAAAATAAACGTGTAGAATTCAAATAGATATATTTACCGTTTGTTAAGTTGCTGAGGGGCGAAGGAGTGTAATTAACTCTGTTTATTCGCAACGATCTGGGTTTTTCTATTAACGGAGTATTTCTTGAATTTTCTACATACGTCATTAAATGTAAAAGTGAATTCATTAATATATATGGTTTGCAAAAGAACATATATAATTTTTTAACAAATAAATATATAAGAATATATTTAAAAGACGGGAAAAAAACATTCCTAAAATAAGTAAAGTATAGAACATCCACTGCAGAATAGATGTTGAAATACATTCATTGATGTTAATAATAAGCATTGACGCATTACAATAATTAGATGATTATACATCAATTGAAGAGTACAGTAGAATTTTAGAAATAACTAACATTTAGTTTAGTACAAAAAACAAAAACATTGAATATGGTACTAACCATTCCAATACATAACTTTTTTTAGTAAGTGACATAAATATCATTAAAATATTTTGTATTTGCTGTCTTAAGTCGCTTAGATCTTCTCAATTCCGACGGTGTAACTGTCACTTGCATCGTCGGCGTTGTAGTCATCAAACGTGGCAGAGGTGGTGCAATCGTTATGGGTGGCATAGGTTGTGAAGTTGGTGGTGGCGGTGCAAACGTTATGGGTGGCATAAGTTGTGAAGTTGGTGGTGGCAGTGCAAACATTATGGGATGCATAGGTTGTGAAGTTGGTGGTGGCGGTGGAAAAAGCGCACAAAGATCACATTTAAAATATATACCCCACCCAACATCACCAATGCATAGGCAGCGAAGATGACCAGAAACATTTTTGCAAATCCAACACATTTCCATATCAAGTGAATCTTCGTTACTCTTGCACTTGTAACATGGCTCAATTAAACTTCCAATTCCTCCTATATATGTAGGAGAAAAATTCATTTATTAAGATATAAATTGCAAATTTCGGGCATATGAAAGTGGAACAAATATTGTTCACACACAAAATATTTTTTTTTAATTGGGCCTAAATTTAATTACTACCGCCCAAAATTTTTGTCCAAGTACAAAACTGAAATTGCAAATTAAAGTCCAAAAACCAAATCTAACCCAAAATTTTATTCCCAAAAACCGGCCCAAGTACTATATGTCGTTTTTATGCCCTACTATCCTACGTCTTATCCATTCTCTCCCACTGGCCGTCCACACAAATCGCCGCCTTATCCCTTCTCTCCCAAAATCCCTATATCGGCGATTTCTTCCAACCGCCGATGTTATGTATCCGATGTTAAGAACACGCCGCTTTATAATCTCCGTACAATAGCGATGTGATTGTAGATCGATCGTGCGGCGATCTGAAGATGTGGTGGTTCAAGGACGGCAGATGATTTGAATCAGGGGTAATTTCGGTGAAATTTTTTTGTTATATTTCCATCGGATTATCTTCATGATTATGTACTCCCTTTTTTCAAAGATTATTATGAAATATTAGATCTGAATATCTTCCTTTATTCTTCTTTGTTAAATTCTTAGGATCTTACTCCTAGATGCATGTTAGCCGTTCGATGACTCGTATTTTTTTTAAAAAATCATTTTATAAAAAGATTTTATTAAAATATTTTGAGTAATTCAAACAACATGCATAGAATTTCTTAGTTTATCAATAATATTTTTTTACTCCGGTTATTGAAAATGTGTTCTTAAAAGTACATATCTGTTTTTTCAAATTTGTTTGTGAAAAGAGTAGTATATTTAATCGATTATAATCTCTGTAAAACGCCTATCTTGTTGAAGAAATTAATATTTTTCCAGTAATTCATAATTTTGAAATGAATTTTATAATTTTTAAAAGAACATATCAATTCTTTTTACTCTCATTCGTAGATGTATGATATTATTTCTATACCTATTTTTAGATCAAGTGCTTTGAAAAAAAAATTTAAAAAGGAATTTTTTTGTACAAATAATTTTGTAGAATAATTAAAAAGTTCTTATTTTTCTGAAGTTTTCTCAAACATCTTTAGTCTTAAACGCGAAATATTCATTGCTAATGTTAAAAAATAATAATCTAAAACAGGGAGTATAGATGAATGTTTACAAAAAAGCCATTGAACCTTATTGACCATGTTCAATAAGAAATGTTGAACATGAGGAAGGTTCTATTGCACATTAAAAGTTTTATTAAGGCAGAGAATCAAAAGTAGACAGAGATCGTCATGGCTGGTATGTCATTTAAACAGGTAATGAAATATTTTTATTTATTTAAAGTATATATATATATATATATATATATATATATATTAATTTTTTCTTTATTAATTTATGTAAGCAATAGAAGTTACCTTTGTCCAATTCCTCTTCTGAATCATGTATTGAAAATATTCTTTCACATTTTGTGAGCTTTCTCATCGGGGAGACACTTATCACAGGTATCCTGTTTGAATTACAATGATATAACTAAATGAGCTTGCCAAATTACAAAAGTAACATGGATTATTGATAATTTTATTTTATCATTGAAATAAATCATTTTTAGTCCATGTTTCAGAAGTGTGATTTGAAGATATTTTCCAAAACTAATTTTTTCAGTCACTGGCATTTTCAATAAATTTAAAACAATAGTCTTTTAGGAATTTTAAGAATAATAAGTCAAGACCCACGAAGCAAAACATATTTGTTTCTTAAAACCATTTTCAAATCAGTAGAGTGTAAATTACTAACCTTAATGAGGAAGAATTTAATACTAGTCTTGAATGCTCAAGATCAACTTCAATGAAATAATTGGTTAGGAAGTTGAGAAATAAATGAGGTAAGTTAGAGGGAAACACTAATATACTTGCAATCCTATTTAGTGTATTAAATGCAAGGAACTAAAGCCTAGGTGATGATAGGTGTGTGGCTCAACGTTCTGTGGTTGTATTAATTAGGGTTCGAGTTCCCATTACTGAATTTATAATTGTATAAATATTTACTGATTATATGTATATTAAGATACACACACACACACACACACACACACACACACACATGTATATATATAAATAATAGACACAGAATAAATACATGTGTTTGTATATTTAGAAATATTTTAACAATTTGTAGATGAAAATATTAAAACACTATTTTCATTCTGCTATGATATAAATATTTAATTATTTAGAAATGAGTATTTATTTACGATTATATATATAAATATTTTCACGCACTCCAACCTACATATACATACACAATAAATATATGTATAAATATATATATCTGTATAGATTATTTTTTTTAAAAAAGAAAAACATTTAATATTTGAAATAGAAAAACAATTTATACCTGCATATTTATGTATGAATATATATACACACATATACATATACATATACATATACATATACATATACATATACATATACATATACATATACATATACATATATATGTACATATACATACATACATACATACATACATACATACATACATACATACATACATACATACATACATACATACATACATACATACATATATATATATATATATATATATATATATATATATATATATATATATATATATATATATACCCATTTAAGAAGCAAGGAAGTTATGAATGAATGTAATATAGATATTTATTTTCGTTGGGCCATTATTTAGGGAGACATGAATTTAAATATTGGATTATGCTATTCATGTTTAATAATTATTAATTTCGATATTTTTATCAAACATACATGTATGTTGAAAATTTCGTGTATAATTTATCTAAAATATGTCAGTGTATTATTTTATCTCTAAATCATAATCTCATGTTTATTAAGTCATTATTTTTTAATCTTCAAAAATTCCATGAAATTATTTCAATTAAATTATATTATTATATCATTGAATATTTTCGAAAATTTAAAAATAAAGGAAATTAGTGAACAGGCATAGGTCATAATGAAGGTAGTAAAATCTCATTTAATGCAGTCCCAGGCGTGTGGCTCTAGGAGTGTTAAAACAATTTAACTTTTTTTAAACAAGTCACTTCAATGGGATTTTTGGAAAATATGATATTTATTACACATTGGGCCACACAACTCACAAATTAATTTTTTCGATTTTCCATTAAAAAAAGGAGCATTGGGCCACCCACCAATGTGTAAGTTTACATTTAATACACATTGGGCCACACACCTCATAATTCAAATATTTCGCAGAGTCCATTTAAACAAAATAAAGGAAATTAGTGAATAGGCCTAGGTCATAATGAAGGTAGTAAAATCTCATTTAATGCAGTCCAGGCGTGTGGCTCTAGGAGTGTTAAAACTACTTAACTTTTTTTAAA